TGAGAAGAAATATCTTGATGATAGTCCTCTGCTTTGCTGGTTGGCTGTGCAGCGCACAGCTACAGAAGCTAAAATGTTAAAGCAGCTGAAAAAGAGCTGAGGACAATAAAACATTGTAGCTCCCCCCCCCCCCCATTATAGAAGGATCCATCCAGATCTTTGTTGTAGTCTGTTGGCAAACTGCAAAACCCCTCCTCGGCAGCAGCCAGCTGGGCTGTACCTGTTTGAGCTCCGTGGTCAATCTGAATGGCTCTTTATGCGTCCGAAGTCCCATCTGCTCTGCTTGCGAGGAGGCGGAAGGCGCAATACGTTAAGTGACCAAAGTTAAAAGAAAGACTGGCTTCATGAACTGTAACAAAACATTATGCTAATGCCAGCGAAAGGCTTTCTCCTCTATTGAGAAGGCAAAAATCATTCTCGAGAATTGGCTTCATGTTAGAACTGTAAACAGTTCCTATTTTATAACCATACAAGTATGTGGCTTGTTATATTTTCATCCAGAGTCTGTAGGGGTTCTTTTTCTTGCAGGATTTGTTCAAAGCCTGTGCATACCTCTGGAGGAATAAAAGAAAATGAGTTTGTTCTTCATTATTGCTGTTTGCAATAAAGCAAATTGCCTCTGAAAACACAAGGACTGCTCTTCAAAGACACGTTTCTGTGCTCTATATGGATGTTTGCAAATGTGCATGCGTGTGTACCATATGTACTAAGCATGTTTGTTACCACATATGGCTGACTTCTTTACCCTGCCTGCTTCTAATGCACCCTCGTACACTAATTCGGGCTGTCAGTGAGGCAGAAGCGGGGAGGAGAGGTGTTCCCCCTTACAAAGTGTTTACAACAGTGAGTTATAGGAGGATGACCACAGTGTTTCGGGGACATGAGCAGTAGTCTTGATTAACCTGTTTAACAGTTCACTTGTGGGTAAGAAAAACAGTCTAAAGCCCGATCCAGCTGTATTCATGAATTTATTCCTTTGCAAATAATGGTGGATAAAATTAGCAGACATCTGGAAGAGGCACATATTTCAAAGTTATTTTGGTCGAAATGTATAAAGCACACTATGAAGAATATGATTGGTAGCTGGTCTTAATAAACAGTTAGTGAGTTCTGCCTGCCTAAAATGCAAAACAGATGTATCTTTGTTCTTTTAAAGTGACTTTGATGAATAAACTACATGTGACGTCAGGTCCAAGCTATTGGATGTCTGAGTCCGGCAGAGAAATTTTTTAGAATAAAAAAAAGAAAACTTTCCATTGTAGAGTCTGGAGAGAACAAAGTGAATTCCAGTGCATTGCTCTCAGAGCAAATAGAAGCAGGTTCAGAGACTTTAGGTAGTCAGTCCAAACATTTATTATTGGTATTATTTTCAGGGAGATCTGTTTTTGTCTGCTGCACTGAACCATTTTCCTCTCCTTGCAGCAAGTCTCAGACTTTGGCTATTTGCATCAGTATTAAGGGGCTCTGGCTTTGGAGGTTGTTTTTTTTTTTCCTCTTGGTTTTTTTCCCCTCCCGTTTTAGTTTTGGTAGAGGGAGGGCTGGGAGGAGGAGGATGTGAAGGAGGAGGGTGAAAAGGAGGACAGACAAATGCTTCCAAAAGGAGAAAGACTATGCAGACACAATGCTATATCTAAGGACTCTTTAACTCTGCTGGGTTTTGCTTTTGTTTTGTCATGAGCAATTTAATGTTTTTCAGGGCAATAATCTTTGCTTTAGTGTGCGTTTTTTGGCAGATTGACCAAGCAGGCAGTTTAGTGCTGTACCACTTGTGTCAGGAAGTCAGCTCATTCTCTGCAGGTGTTTCATCCATAAACAAGCATCAGCCACAGACTTCTTTTTCTTTACGGAAACCCTCTGGAATTTAACTTTCAGATACAAATACTTGGAGAGGTTGGCAGCGGAGGAGTATGAGAAGGAGCTGAAGAGTCGGAGTGTAAGCCGAGGCAGAAGTGAGCTGTCCTTGAACCTGAGATCTCCTTCAGCCCCATCCTCGCCTGTACCCAAGTGCGTCAGCCCGGCATCCATAGAGTCCCAGGAAGAGCTGAAGACCCCTTCCACTCCTTGTGGGACCCCTCAGCCCTCAGAAGGTAAGTGGAGGGCATGGGAAAGAGCAGTGATTTTATCACAGTTTCTCTCAGGCTGGCAGTGATTTTTGATGCATGAGTGCAGTATAATCTCTGAGGTGCCAAAGTAAAGGGTCTTATTGTATTGTTTCATCATGTCTTCCTGAATTTCCTCTTTTTTTTTCCCCATAGATTTGGATGTCTTCTAGTCTATTCAAGCAAAGAATACACCGCTAATTGTTGCTATGATTTATATTATCATTGTCTGATGCTATTAGAAAGGAATAACTGGAAAATACAGCATACAGAGGGTCTTAATTTTAGCATCATGTTCCTTGTATATTAGAAGTTACTGAATACTAAACCAACAATATTCCTGCCAACAGATTTTGCTTATGTGGATTCTCTGAAAGAAATGCAACAGATGAATGCCAAGATTATAATAACCTTCCAACAGAGCACAGGCTGAATGGGACAAACAGAAAAGGTCTTGAATTGAAGGCAGGGAGGGTGCACTGGTTATTTTTAACACCAATAAAAACTCTTAAAACTGTAGCACAAGTAGTAAAGGACTTAGAAGAGACCACAGACAATTAGTAAAAAGGAAAGTATAATTAGTATTTGCACGGTTGGTTTGCTGTCATATAATTTATTGGTGTACAGAGCAATATTTTTTGTGTTTGCACGTCATTCTGCCACTTGCATCATATACCCCTCCCTCAGTCCTCAAAAAAACACCCACCATACAGATTCATATTTGCGCCACATGATGTTGCATTAACATTGGGAGCTAGAATGCATGTTGAGGGTGAATTATCGCCATCATTCATTTTTATTTTATTTGATTTCCTGCTACATGCTATTGGTGATTAATGCATTTGTAACTTGCACTGCTTGGTTTTATTGAGTGTTATGGCTGGTAGCATGCTATAAAGCAAGGCAATTTCAGAAAAAAGTTACAAATATTGGATGTTCAATATGTTTATCCTCACCATAGTAAGTAGGTGAAGTTTATTTAATTTAGAGTTGTATATTTTCCCAATAATATTCCCAGTTTTCTTGTCTGGCGCCTTAAAAGACTTAGTGGAACCATTTGTACTTAAAAAAACATGGATATTTTCCTGTAGCACTGATATTCAGAAACATCCAGATGCCCCCCCCCCCTTTTTTTTTTTGAGTGCTATATTGCTTTTAGAGCAAATAAGCTGGATTTTTCCACCATTAGGATTGCAGAGCTGGGTAGGGAGCAAGTATCTCTTTTATGGTGATTATTTAAACATATTTCTCCTGAAAGCGTTCAAAAAAAAAAAAATTGCGGCATGAAATGGAGCAGCCCAATCCATTTGGAGAATGCATTGAAAGCAGGTGTACAGGGCAACTTCAGGCAGCCACAATATGGCAAAGCTATCAACATGTGGGTAGGCAGGTCATCTCTGCTAAAACTCATGGCAATATCGGTAGGCATCAGAGGGCAGCACCTGGAAGTCTGGCAAGGAGAGGAACATATGAATGGGGCAGGGTAAGCATCCAGCCAAAGGCAGCTGCAGGCAGATGGCCAGGACAGCACCAGAACAGGCGCCTGAAATCTGCATACCTCAGTGGGAGCTGTGCATGAGGAAGGACTGCTATTTCACCATTGGAAAGGTCATATGAAGTAACAGGCACATGGGCAGGCCAGGCTTTCTCATCTGGAGGTGGCCAGATTACTGGATGTCAGCCAACAGCTGGCAGGCTTGTTTATAGATTTTGTGCCATGGCCTCTGGATGATTATCTGAGTTTCTTACGTTCCGTAATGAATTAAAATCCCAGCTTTTACTGTCCTTTGGAAACGTTATGAGTCCTGCTTAACAGGTAGAGAAACTGAGGCATTAACTTGCTTAAGTCAGTTGTAGGAAAGCTGGAGTAGAGCCATGGACAGAACCCAGATTACTTGCACCCCAAGCAGTTGCTTTGAACACAGGGGTCACCATCTTCCCAAGGATAAGACTGCAGAAGGAAAATGCTTCCCCGGTTCTGTGCATAGGACCCTCCAAAGAATCTGCAAGAAATGGTGTTAACGGATGGGTGATATATGTCTGCAGAATTCAGAACTTGAAGTCAAATGTGAAGTGTGTTCCTCTACTGGCAAAACAATAATTGATTTTTGGAGTCAGATTTATGCCATTTGTGCTGAAGTGTCCTTTGGCCATCCGATATCTACTGGGCTTAAGAAAGAGATGGATTTTTTTCTGTGGAACTTTGTCCCACGCTGTGAAACGTCTCAGTATCTTTACCCAATATAAGAATCTGGACTTACTGAGCTGAAGTGTTTTCTCATATAAAACAATTGGTTCCACTAAAGTAATCAAGTCTTGTAAGACTCACTCTTGTAAAACTTGGGGTATGGCATTCAGAGGAAATGAAGGCAATCCCATAACTTCAAAATCGAACTTAATATTTTTTTTTCAGAGCAGCTACTTCCTCCTTTGTAATTTCATTGGAGAATTTTTTATGAAGTGCACATGTGCAGTAAAGGAGAGCAACAATAACCAAGACATCTCTGAAGTCAATCCACAAAGGAATTGGAGATGAACACTTCTCTGAGAGGAACAGCTTTTATAGCACTTGAGGAAGTAAGCAGGCCAACCCAAGTGCACATTGTGGACAGTAGAAAACCTTCTGAACATATTAGTAGCTAAGCAAGGTTCAAATACTGGCTTAAGTATGACTGGTGGAAGCATCTCGACAGACAGAGAAGCACCAGAGCATGAGGGTGCAGTGAGGCCATTGTAGCCCCGGCTGTAGATCCAAAGGAACCACAGCACAGAAAGTCAGAGGAGGAACTGGTGTGGGGGACAAAGAAAGATCATTCCTGACTTCATGAAGAAAGAGGAAGCAAACTCTATGCTTGTTTTTATCATCACAAGAAGTGGGAAGATTGGGGTCGGTTGGAGAAAGGGAGAGAGTCCTTGCTGAATTCACAGCAAGAGGAATCCTGTGCTGGAGGAATTGAAGGGAGATAACCACCAAGACTTTAAGTGGTGCCTGCATAATTGAACCAAGAGGGCTTGGGTGGGTATAACCATCTTCAGACTTACTGGATACATCCTCAAGAGACACTTAGTGTTTGTATCTCCCAGCTCCAAGTAGAGAGCAGAGAAAATAGATGAAGGTGTGGTTGCCTAATCTATTACCCTGGCATGGTATTAGATGTGGGCCTGGAGGGGTGGTTGTTCTCTCTCAGAGCTTATAGGACAGGGTGGGGATGGAGGTCTTATCAGCAGGTACTAAGGATTTGACATCTTGTGTCTGCTTCAGAGTTTGTTACTGCGTTCAGAGTGTCGAAAGACAAGTTGTTTCTCTCCATGTTCCTGTGTAGCATTATAAGTTCGTAGCCCTGTTTTTTCAGAAGGGACCAGATTGCTGTTGTCTCTAACCGCTCACTCAAAAGAGGGCTATCACCAGCATCCGATCAGATCAAGTTGCTAGGGCTTTATGTGGCCAAGTCTTGAAAATGTCAGAAGATGCAGATTACACCATCTCTCAAAATGACAAAATCTGTACACATTTATTGAGGGACCATGCTACTGTCTCTTATAGTGATGAGGTTACACAGGTTCTTTGGGAGATTTCATTCTTCCAAGAAGTCTTCGCATTTTTTTCCAGTAATACATTTTTAGAGATTTAGTTCTGGCAGAAAAAGAAGTGGACATATGACTCAAAAATTAGTCCTTAAAGCCACATTCAATTTTCCTCCTCCCGATTAATACAGTTGCAAGTAAAACTTCTGCTAATTTAAAGACTTCAATTCAGTCATTTGTTTTAATGGGGGAGAGGGAAAGCTAAGTCTTAAGAGAAATGTGAAAAATAGCAGATGCAAATGAAAAGAGATTACCTCTACTACTGAATCTGGCAATCCCAGCTTAGGTTTTAAGAACTGCATGTGTGTAAGAATTGGGTTGGTTGTTTTTTTTTTTTAAAAAAAAAAAGAGGTATGTTGCTTGTAATGGCATCACACTTCTTTACGTCTCAGGAATGCTTTCTTTGCTGTTGATGCTTTTTAATACGACCAAGTTTTGCTTCCCTGGGTCTTTGTGCTTCCCACCAGCAGAAGTCTGAAGACAGGGAATAGAGCCTGGTCTGTTGCTACCTGCAAGGTTGCCACTTAGAGTAGTGTTTTGACTGGTGTGAAAAGTGATTCAGTAGTTATGGGACTGAAAGCTCCAGCTTGTTTCAAATAGGCCACCACAAAGCGTCCACCGAGAATTCTAGTTTTTAACATCTTTAGAAGTTGTCATCAATATCAGCCCAATGGATCGCACAATGGAACTGCAAGTGATGGACGCACATCTAGCTTGCTGGCTTTGTTTCCTACTAGTGTTTGCTGACTGATCTGATTTTTGAACTGCTTTTTAAGGGAAGCATTACTGGACTTAGCTCACTACTTATAAGTTATTTAGGTTATGGGTGGATTGTTTGACATGATCCCAAAAAGAGAGACTGTCAAAATGAGTGTCAACATATCCCTGTTCTGTTCTAGAAGTGCTTAAATTTTCGATAGTCCTTGAACACAAAAGAGCAGTCTGTGTCAGTATGTTGCTCTTCATTTGTTGTTGTATATTAGATTCTACTAAGATGCTGCATCTTTCTGGTGTGTGTGGAATATTTCTGGTGTGAAGAGTACCCAGTATTCTTTTGAACATTCTCATTTTCTCAGCCATTTCTTATGTCTCCCCTGACTTTATCCTATTGAATCTTTAGTGTACCTTCATGACAACAAAGGTGCCATAAGCATTAGCAGTCCTGGCCATGCTTCAGTCAGCTGCTTTCTCCACCTGAGCTGTTGAGTTCACCTTTTTGGTTATTGCATGAAAGCTTTTGTTTTTTAGAGAGAAACATCTAAAATACATACAATATTATGGTCATTCAAGGATAAATTGATGACATTTGTTTATATGGACCATTCCAGCATGGGAAGATCAGTCTTCCATGCTACAGTACCGTGGTAGTTCCAGGATCTCCTGAAGGATTCCTAAGCTTGCATCTCAGTTATATTCAAATCTTGGCTTGACTTTAAAATGCTCTTGTACTATACCTACGCACTGACAGCTGTGCTCAGAAACACACTTCTGGGATTCAGAGTGTCTACCAACTTCTTCTTGCCAGCGCCTATAATTTTGATTTTCTTGTAGGCAGTGCCCAGAGTACAGTCATAGGTAAGATACATTTAGAGAGTCAAGGCATGTGTAGAGCTGCTCTAATGGGAGACTTTTAAATGCTGTCTATGTAGAAGAGGGAGAAAGGTAAGCTGCTAATTGGGAGTGGTTTAAAACATCTTAGAGGGCTTTGAGTGTGCATGGAGTATATATTAAACATATTTCATGTATGTTTCTTTTTTATATATGCATTATATATGCATGTCTAGTTATTTAACTGAGTACACATTTAAAATCAATTGTGAAAGTGTAGAAGCTCAGCTCCAATGAAATCAGTGGCAAAAAATAATTTGCAGTGTTTTACGCTTAGATTATATGAAATTAAGTAGAATAGTGTGGTACTGAAGACGCATTAGTGGAAGCTAATGTAAAAGTATGTGTGTTATTGTAAAGATAGGTACAGGCATTGATAGAAGTCATTATTCTTTGTATGGGTGTCTCAGAAAATAGGATAGGCACACAACATGAAACAGTCTTAGGAAGGCATTGTGACCTTCATTATTTTGGCTTATGCTTTCTCAGCATAAATCTATTTACTGGCTCCGTAGAGGACTGAAACCTTTAGATTGCATTGCAGTGTGATACTTTTTTCCTTCAAAGATTCATGTAGCTCTGGAAGACAGTCTTATTGCATATCATGCAATCCAATGACCATGACAAGTCCAGAAGGCAATATTGTAATGAAAAGTAGTTAACAGAGGGAAAAACTGAAGATGACTTGGACATTGTAGTTCAGCCACCCTAGAAGTTTTAATACAGAGGGAATCTGGGGAATATGTAGAACTAACATGCATGCCCATTTTCATCATTCTTGCATGGCCATTTCAGTTTTCAGAAAATTATGAGCTGCTTGATGTGAATATGTGTGGATGGTCTTCGGTTTCTTTGCAGCACGCAGAGAGTATTTGCATGTGAAAATCTGCTGTTATACATAAAAACCCTAAAGGTGAACGAATGAATTTCACTGCCAGTGATAAAGCAGGGAAGAAGAAACCAAGTATACTATGAACAGTGTTTGCTGTGTGCCAACTGATAAAAAAGCTTATCATACACCGTATGCCAACCAATTGGAAACTAAGTTTGTGCCATATGCCAAGCAGTTGGAAACTTTGTTCAGTTTTGATGTGGCTATTCTGAAGTAAGTGTGCATGAAAAAACATATGTTTTTCGTCAGCCAAATGTGTGACGGTGCCATTTCCAGACTGTGCCATTCAGCTGTGTTAATAAAACTAATATTTTTATTTTTTCGTTGAAGTGCTCGTCATCAGGTGAAAAAAAGAATGCTTCCAGAACCCAGAGAAAATTCAACCAAAAGCCACAATCTTCCTCCTTTTTGTTTTTCTTTTTTTAAAGATCTCTTCCTTCCTGGCTCTGTCTAGGCCCTGAGTTGTCTATGTCATGCTCAGGTGGGATGCCCATTTTCTGCTGGTTCAAATCCTTATGCGAGTCCAACACTCCAGCTGTGGAAGTATGTATAAAAACAGCGGGCTGGCTCCAGACAGCAAGCGAGGGGCTTTGCCAGGCTTCTCACATGCAGTGCTGCTGTCGCACAACATTCATCAGTCTGTTGCTCCTAATGTTCAGCATGCCATGGACTTGCTTTTTATTTTCTTTCCATAAGACGCTTGTACAACTTTCACATTGCTCTCATTTCGAGGGGTGAGCCTGAGATGACTCCGATGTTAAGTGAATCTTTTTCTCCCATTGTTCTCTCCACCAGTGAGTGCCAGTGAACCTGAACCAGAGACAGAGACAGAACCAGAACCAGAGCAGGAGGCTGAGGCCGAGCAGGGAACGGAGACACCCAAGGAAATAGAGGCTACAGAGGTGGGACCAGAGAGTGAGGTGGAGCAAGGACCAGAGAGAGAGCCAGAAGAAAGTGCAATACTCAGTGAAAAAGAGAGGCAGAATGAGGAAGTGAATGAAAAAGACAACTGCTCTGCATCCAGCATATCCTCAGCAAGCAGCACTTTAGAGAGGGAAGAGAGAGAGGACAAGTTAACCAGTGACAATGAAACTGGTAAAGTGAAGCTTTTTCAACAATGAAGGGTTTCTGGTGGAAAAAAAAAGATGTTAAATTAACAGCTCTGTTTTTGTGTTAATTAGCTAACAAACCCTTTGCGCCTATCTAAGACTTTCTTCACCATGGCCAAGTCTGATCTACTCTCTGCTTGGAAATCCATAGACTTTGATGGGGTTTCTGTGTTTGAGGGACAGTAAGGCCTTGACAAAATGAGGATTCCTTTGATGTGAGACCATTTTCTTCCCCAAAGATTAAAATATTAACTGTTGAACCACTATGTTGCAGTGACTTGCATCTCCAGCTCCCAGAGACTTTGTTTGGGTTTTCTACATGTAAAACAGTGAGACAAGGGGTCAACATGATTTGTCATGAGATTCCAGATACCTTTTCTCATCCTTTTAGTGGAAGAGCGATGAGGCTGGGATGTTTGTTCCTTCCCTCAGGTTCTTCTGTCTTGGTTAGGCTTCCGAAAGCAGAGAGATAAACATAGGAGCTGCTGAAGACAGGTCTGGGCTGTGGCCATCTTTAGCTTGTGTGGAAGACGCACATGAAATAGACCTTGTCTGGAAAAGACCAGTTCTGGAGTGACCAGTGGTTCTGGTCAGATATGCCACCAGGCACCTGTAAAGGCCCAGCCTGGAAAACACCTTAAGAAACATTTTTCTGCTTGGAGAGATAATGACAACCAGAGCTTGTCATGCAGCCCAGGCAGAGAGGGAGTAAAAAGGCATATTTTGACCTTTGTTGATTAATTACTCTTTTCCCTTTTTTTATAGGGAGGTAAAGGAATGTAATGTAATTAGGGCATTTGGTTCTCAAGTTTTCTTAGGGCTGAACAGTGGAGTGCATTGTCCAAAGTTTTCTAAATTGTAGATAAGAAAACAAGAACTGTGTCACAGTGTGAAATAGTCTTGCTCTTTCCTGAAAGAAGAGGGATAACTGAATCACAAGGATTGCCTCACAGAGATAAACTTTCAGATTGTAGAATTCATGTTTAAAACCTATTACTTTTTTTTTTTCTGGGAAGCATTAAGTTAATTTTATTCTAAATTTCAGAGCTACCTTCTTTTCAACCAGCACAACGATTGAGTTACTTAGAATGCTATTAAAAATGTAGAGATATATATATATGTAGGAAAGGGAGGGGAGGTACGACAGATGAAGGATGTCGTTACACTGTGCCATAGTCCAAGATAGTCTAAGAGCAAGTAAGGGAGAACAGGTTACAGGTTTTTTTCGCCTCATCTTATCTGTTACCACTCTAATTAAGTGCTTATGTACTTTTTTTTAAAAGCTAAGAAATGTACCCTGTTATTGAAAAATCAATATCTTAAAATTGACCGATGTTACCAGTAGACCAAAGATTTATTAGGTCGTGCTATGTAGGAGGTCTCAAGTAGTGAGTTGTTTGCTCTCTAGTAGGTGAGGAGGTTTGGAAAGTGAACGATAGCGCTTTCTCCAGCAGTTCTCACATTCCCAGCAAGGAGTTTGCCATTTATGAGGCGGCCCGTTGGTTCTGCCCAGATGCATTCAGTACAAAGGCATAAAG